AATATATTATTAAAATTAATATTTAAAATTTTTATCTAATTATAAAAAATATTAAATAAGTTAGCAAGCAAATTTGCCTGCTTTACAGATTAAGGGATAATATAATTTATACATATTAGATTATAATATGCAATTAATAAAGACAATTAATTATTATATTATATAGTTAATAGTTCAATTTATATATATATAATCTAAAAAAAAATTATAAATTTTTAGAAAAAGGTTTAAAAGATAGTAAGTTTTATAAAGCAGCTCTTATATCTCTTAAGCTCTGGCAAAATCTTGAGTATATCTGCTTAAAAAGTAAAGAACTAATTGCCCAAATATGACAATTTAAACATGATTGCTTTCATTTGATCTTCTTTATATTTCAGGCATAGATACTTCAAAAATTTGATAAGGTCTTTTAAAAATCAACCTCAACATTTAGCTAAGCTAGCCTATAGAAATTTTTTAATTAATCTTATACAAGCTAATTGTGAAAGAAATTTCTTATTATTAAAGTGGATTTTAGGTAATTATTGAACTATTCTGAACATAAATAGACTAGAAAAAATATCTAAAATTAGATTATATTATATGACAAATATTTGTCATGAGCTAAACTTTTCTGATAAAGAATTAACAGAGTTAGATCTTTGATATATATGTAATCTATTTTCAGTTGATAATATTATAAACTATGATAAGGATTAAATAAGAGCTGATGATGAGGTTTTGTCAGATAATATGATATTTAATAATTCTTTAACTTTACTAATTAAGAAAATTATTGATTTAAAAATAGAAAAAAGTTTAGAATCTTCTGTAGTAAAAATGGTTCAAGCTGTTTTGTGTAAGGATTTGGATTTGGATTATAGTCCTTGTGACTTATTACATAATATATATATATATTTTTTAAATATTAAAGTGAGTATTTGCAACCCAAGATTTTATTGATAGTATATTTGGCTAATAGTTGCATTACAATCACAGAAAGCAATTAAATAATTTTTTAAAATATGAAAAGCAGGCAAAATAGTTCATACTGTATACTCAATTTAATAATAAATATTAAATAAATATTTGAGGTTTAATAATTCTACTTCTAGAAAATTATTAAATTTGCAATTGATTACTTATTATTATTTATTAAAAATTTAATTTTGTATTAAAAATAAGGTAAAATTATTTAATTTTACTATTATAATATATTTATAATTTTAATACAGTAAAACACTTTTAATATGTATTAATTTTTATAAATTTTTACTGTAGGGATGGGGTCTTATAGCCTAGTGGTCTAGGTGCCCCTCCCTCCACAGACAAGGTTGACAGTTCAATCTCAGCTGGAGGCAACTCTGTAATCTATGGAAGCATATGAACATATGCGAAGCCCTGTGGCTAAGTCCATGTGATTAAAAGATCGGTGTATACAGAAGTTCCTAGAAAAAAGATTCCCAATATGGAGAGTTGGCGCTTGATGCAAGAAAAGTGATGAACATACCAGAAATGAAAAGAAGGTGCACTAGCGGGTGATACGGTGAACATAAAAGAAAACTATGGAAAAGAAATAGACTTACCGAAATTCAAATACTTCTGGCACCAAACCAGTTCTAGTAGATATGAGATCTATTAAAATTGGATAAATCTAAGGGGTAATCTTGATATCATACTTAGTAAGTCTGCATCAAGGGTAAATTCGAGGGACTATGGATACCTGGTAACATCCAATGAGGTGGTACCTTGATATAAATAGTAATTAGATAG